ACACTTAGAATATTTATTTATTTATTTATTTTCATTTATTTATTTATTTGTTAGGGACAGTGCATATCAATGAACAGCTGTAACAATTGCAGCTGTAAAAATGCCAGATTATAGCAGAAGTGCTAGTTTCCATCTGTTGTCCCCAGGCAGGTAAGAGAAAGACAAATTACAAATAAAATACAAATACAAAGGCACAAGTGACACAAGACAATAATAGAGGTTAAAGGTTAAAAGTGGTCACAGGCTTGGTTTTCTTTTATCCACTGTTTGAGGTAGGTTTTGAAGGATGCATATGTTTGTGAGTCTCTTATTGTGAGTGGGAGAATATTCCAATATTTAGTTCCTTTGATTGACAGAATAGTTTGTCCGAATGTAGTGCGTCTGTATGGGACCTCACAGTCTCCTCGGGCTGTGGCCAAATATTGTAATTCGACAAGTTTTTTTCAGTGACCAACTAAGTTATAATGATTCTGCATTTCCAGAGCATATGTTTAATGCTTTGATTTACCATTCATACCTTAATATTAGGATTATTAACAAGTTGTGGAGGAAGAATATCAATCATTTACTGATAGGGTTATGGTTAGTTGTGAGGAGTATCTAGTCTTTAGTCATTATATTTCTAAGGACTATCTATCATTTTTACTTGATAGAAATAAGAAAAACTTACTCTCTAACTTAATTTATAGCATTTAAGGATCATGGTTGGTGTCTGGGACTAGTGTCTCCTTTAATTATAAAATCCATACACAGGAAACTGACTATAGTACTTTATATTGTTAAAATGTTCCAGTGATGCATTGCTATGTACTCAGATTTCATTGCATCACTACAGCTTGTCAAGGTGGATCTGCTCTTAAAAGAAATCTGTTTTCTTAATCTAAAAATTCCCTAATAATCAAAGTTGTCCAATAAATTAAGAGCAGTAAAAGAGTCCAAGTTTCCCCAGAACTTAGCTGTCGACAAAGCAGTTTAACTTTGCTGTCTTTGCTGATATTGCCCTATACATATATACAATGGCCTACATATAGGTCCTCACAGGAGCTTTACATAGGCCGTATAGTACTTAAGTAAATGTAGATATGTATGTCATATGTCAAAATGTTAAAATTCAAAATCTTTGGACACCCAGATATATCACAGCAATGTCACAGTTTAAGTAACATCCTGTTTTGTCGCTTTCCTGCTCTGTCTCTCTAAAAAGGCCACAGTGTCTGACACAAACCCAAAGCCACCCAGACAGTCATTGTTACTTCTCAGTGTTGGTGATTCATCGTGGTAAACACAACTTCTAGCACTTGATTGGGGGTTGTGTATAAAGGGATTGCCCAGCTGACACCAGCTAATACAGATATAATTGACTCTGCTTCTGCATTCTGCTTGTGGATTTGCAGAAGAGCATGGGCTCATTGTACAACAACAAATGAAGCAGGCGGCAGTGAAAGGAGCTGCTGAGCATTCCCCGGATCTACTGAACAGACTACTGAGCTCTGTTAAATCTGCAAACACAGCTTCTCCCTCCTCAAGAGCCCTTTGATGTCATCCTGCAGACCTGTAGCTCATAAAACTAAGTCAAAAAAGCAAGTACCCTGGCCTCTTGTGAGGTGAATGTCGATCGACTCTTGAAAACAGCAGTGATTTCTGTTCCCCGCATTCCTCCAGCCTGTGATGTCGGCGTCAGCTTTAAAGATGCTTTAATGGTGGAGTCCCTCCAAAAGTTTCATTCAGTTGAAGGGGAATTCCTCCTCTCTTTGTTGTCTGAGATCTTTGAAATGCAGGAATGAAGAGGGGGAATTATTGATAGAAAGGGTTTGAAATACTAGAAGTTGTCTGACTTGGTCTGACTTCATATCAGGTTCAACAGGTGCAGCCCCACCTATGCAAAACTATACATCCCAAAATCCCATTAAGTTGACGGGTGCAGGGATCAGTTGTGTAGAATTAGATCTGCATCATTTGGGCCAATCCAAAAGTAAATATAGGGGATGTGAGCCCAACTACACACAGCTGGCCCTTAGAGCTCAGGATCCTGGGTAAACAAGTATCCAGCATGCCTCGGCACAGCTCACCCATGGGGCGACATCATGAGCCACTGAACAATGACAGATACTCCACCAGAGACGGGGCTGCAGTAGGGCTTAGCAAAATTTTATTACATTTGGTCAGTTTCAATGGACTGCATGCTAAAAGAGGATCACATACTTTGTCATCAGTTTTAAGATTACTAAGACATCCACCCCTCCTTAGACTCTGTAATGCTCCTATTGATGCCTTACACCTGCTGCTTTAACATGATATGTGCTGCACACTCAGAAAAAGGTTTCATTTGTGTCTACACAGTTTCAAATTTATAAGGGGTGACCTGCAACTGTTTTATCCATTTTATACTGTTTTAAACGTTTTAAAATGTTCTTTTCTTGGGACGCCTTACTTTCTGAGAGTCAACTTGCAGCATAAGCGGCTTTTGTGATTTTTATGATTTTTCTCATCGACCAAAAAGCTGTTGCTGTTTACAAACAAATTGCCAAAAATTTATACTTTATGATTGTTTATTATGTAAAGTTTGTCATTTAAGTAACACAAAATGCAAAGTGCATGTTAGTAATAAAGTTTATAGTATAGTTTTCTATTTGCAGTCAATAATTAATAAATGAATCTAAGAGCTTTTTTCAGATTTGGCTGTGTATGAACAAAGTCTATGTATGCAGGCTTTAACACATACACAATAAATGGACAAATATCAATTGAAAACAACTTTATTCTCTTCTCGTTTTAAAGGCAACAGGACATTAATAAAAAACATTTGTTTTTATAAATAATAATATACTGTGTCTCAAAACTTCCTTCTTGATTTCTAGTTCACATCACATGCATTTGGACTTAGTTGTGCCCCCTTGTGGTCACCTCCAAACAATTAAATTATTTGTAATTTTAATGTTGTAATCCGTCTGTTATGAAAGTATTACATGTTTTTATTTTTTTTTAAATCTGAACGTCGGGGTTTTTTTTAAAAGTACGTTAATTATCAGACATACAAGGCTGAGAATAAAACACAGAGCGGAGAATCATTGCATCACATGAAAAACACATCAGTTTGGTACTTTTGCATTATATCTTTACATATGTGTTTTAATTTAAATATATTCTTCAAAATATTCTGAACAAATAAATATGTTGACTTTGTTAAATACAGCAGCACCTGGTGAAGAGCCCGGTCGGGTTTGAAACGTTGTGTTGTCTCATGCGTATAGCAAATAAAAGAGTTTATCTTTGGGAGCCATAGTGTTGCGAGTCTTTGTGCTTTATATCTAGGGATATTTTAACACTCAGCACCTAAATCAGTGTTGTGCGTGTGTTGGTTGACCTTTTCTGGACTTTATGAATACCCATAGAAACTTCAAAATTTTGCTGGACTTTCTGGATACCCACAGAAACTTCAAAATAAGTCGACCAACTTGTAAAATGAGCCGCTAGATGGCGCTCTTTTCTTTCAAACATTATTACACCTGATTTCAAACACACGCACTCACTAGTGGGGGAAAGAAACATGTTAAAAATAATGTTAGGGGAGATATTTCTGAACATTTTATTGGTTACACGTGCATCTCACAAGTGCGCCAATGATGCGATATCGACAGGTTCACTTATCAGCCTATTTTAATCTAATGTATACTTGTTTATAGGCATAATTAACATTTAGACTTGGGCTACTGTGGCATACTTATTGTTTTGTGATTTGGCTTTGACTCTATTGAAAAACAATAAGATTGATCATTTCAATTTGTGTATTATTATACTGAATTAGTGAACAGCTAACAGCTTTCACAGGAAATTTGATCATTCGGGCGAAAAGTCTGTATTCATAATGCAGCAGCAGAATGCATTCTATGTCAAAATCAAATAGTTCTTTCTATTCTTTTTATTCCTTTTTATCCCGTTGGATTCAATTCTACTCTCTTTAATGCTCTCAGGGATTCAGCTCTGACATTGTATGCTCCTTCGTCTCTAGGTTGTAATCTGCAGGTTTTGGCACGTGCTCCGCGTAAACCGGAGAAGACTGCGCGAATGGCACGCGGACAGATGTGCCCCCCCTTCCCTCTTCCCTCTTCCCTTCCCTTCCCTCTTCCCCTTTGAGCGGCTCCCGCGCCGGCATGATTGACATAGAACTGTTCACACAGCCAATCAGGGAGCCGCCTGCTTTATTTGCATAAAGTGGCCGCATGCCATTGGCCTGGTGCGTGCTACTGCAAACCGCCTCGCGTGCCATTACAGATGTCTGCTCCTTGGAGGCGCAAGAGGGGTCTTAAAAATAGATAAAAGTGTGTTTGTTTATGTTTGAAGCTTTGAAAACATTTATGCTTGATTTAAAGGCTTGTGTTATTTGGTTTAAGCAGGCAAGCATACATTTTAGAAATGTCCTTTTCCATTTCGGGAGAAAAATACATTTCAAGCACAAACACATAATTAACAACAAATTATGATATTTTGACAGAGACATGAATCCGTTAGCAGCCAAGAAATTTGGGCATGATTCTTCATTTAAATCACACAACTTTCTATAGCACTCCTCCTGAACAACATACTGTCAAAAGTTTGCTTCTGGCTGTACTGTATAAGCCTTTTGTCAATACAGACTCGACATTCTTCCACACACACAAACTCACACACACACCAAGACGTCTAACATTTTTGACGAGCACGGAGCAAAGTTGGAAGCAAACATCCAGCGCATTCCCCTCCCTTATCACTTCACAGCCCAGCCCCGACCGCCGCTGCTCGCTCCGCTTTGTTGTTTGTCCCTGCAGGGCTGATTGAGCAGCGCGTGACTGACGGCCCGCGGGGGTGTTGTCCAATCAGCGGTCTGCCCCGCGCCCAATGGGTGAGTCCTCTCTGCTATTGGCTGAGGCGAGTGTGGGAAAGAATGCAGAGAAGGTTTCACACGAACTGGGAGCACGCGAACCGTCTATAAGTACCGCCGCGGCGCGTGTCAGCGGCAGAAGCTGAGACTGTACTCGCATGACAGCTCAGCGATAACAAGCGACTGAACGTAAAGTGATCTGCGGGACTGCCCGGCATCTCATACATGTTGTGCAGTGGCACTGCGTGAACTTTTTAAAATTTTCACTGTTTTTATTCCCGTCGTTCCAAAAGAGGATTTATTTCTGTATCTTTTGATCTTTGTTTTACCGATTTGATCGAAAATGCCAGCCGACACAATGGAAAAGCAGACAGCGTCTCCTATTGCCGGTGCGCCTGCAAACGGATCACACACACCGGACAAACCGAAAAATGCCAGCGAGCATAGAAAGGTAAGCATTTAATTTTCACAAGCAAACATGTTCTACTTTAGAAGATTGAATAGTTTGTTTATGAAGTAAACACGTTGTTACAGTGATGTGACATGACATGCAAGTTGTTAAATGATTTACAAGATTGATGAGCAAGGTACTTATGCAGACTTGTTTTTATCTTTTTTTGCAGTCATCCAAACCCATCATGGAAAAACGACGAAGAGCGAGAATTAACGAAAGTCTCGGTCAGCTCAAGACGCTCATCCTGGACGCACTCAAAAAAGATGTACGTTTAAACTACTTTAATGCCCATTAAGTATTCTTCATGTTCACTGATCATTTCGTTTTAAATGTGATTTGCACATAGACTAAACTTTATTTTATCCCCCTGCAGAGCTCTAGACACTCCAAGTTGGAGAAAGCAGACATCCTAGAGATGACAGTGAAGCACTTGAGGAACTTGCAGCGTGTACAGATGAGCGGTAAGTTTACTCAATCACATAAGTGGGTCAAACGTTTTGATAAGTCATAAAGAAGCTGCTGAAGAAGGCATAGACTCCTCACTAATATTCATCTTCTTTCTCCCTCCAGCAGCGCTCTCAGCAGACGCTACCGTCCTAAGCAAATACAGAGCCGGATTCAACGAGTGCATGAACGAGGTGACCCGCTTTCTGTCCACCTCAGAAGGAGTGAACACGGAAGTGCGATCCAGACTCCTAAACCACCTTTCCAGCTGCATGGGCCAGATGATGTCAATGAACTACTCACAGCAGGCCGCGTCCCAGCAGGCGCACCTTGCTCAGCCCCTTCACGTGCAGCTCCCCTCCACCCTGCCCATCAACGGCCACGCCAAACTCAGTCCGGCAGAGGCCGTCTCCCCTAAGGTGTTTGGTGGGTTCCAGCTGGTGCCCGCAACAGACGGACAGTTCGCTTTTCTGATCCCAAACCCGGCATTTGCCTCCGCCACAGCCCCTGTTATCCCCCTTTACGCAAACGCAGGAGTGCCTGTTGCTGTGAATGCCAGCCCGGTGCACGGCAGCTCTGCATCCACTGCAGCATCTCCAGTTCACGGCATGACGTCCTTCTCCGGGGGATCTCAGGCAGTTAGCCCGGTGGGGGTCAGTACTGGATCGGAGAGCAACGAGCCTGTGTGGCGGCCCTGGTAGCCTAGGATGAAAGACTTGTGTGAATCCAGTTTGCATTACTTTGATTACTTTTTCAGTTTACCCTTTAAACTGGCTGCACACACAACTGTCTTGGGGTTAAACCTGGAACTCTCCCGCTATGGGACGGTGACTCCAACCACTTAATGCCCCCAGTAGTTCTTGTTGTTTCGTTTTATGGAACATGAGTTGCCTGAAATGGCACATTGTTTTTTATTATTTATTACCAGATTCCAAAATTTGGATGTCGGTGATAAATGCTGTACATGCAGATGGAAGATTTATAGAAGATTTTTGTCATGAAGTACTTTTTATCAAAAGATTTAGTTTTGTACAAAGTTGTTATTGATTGTTATACCAAAGCTGTGTTTTATATTCTTTGTTGTTTTGTGTTGAAAAGTAAAACTGAAGTTGGGTGATAACCCATTGTTTTAATAAAATAAATCTCAAAAATTACGTTTTTTGTCTAAAGCCTGATTTCATGCCATGTCCTTTTGCTTTGAGAGTTTAAGGGTCATCTTAGGTTTGGGGGGGGGGGGGGGGGGGGGGGTGCGTAAAAAGCTACATTTCATGCGTAAAAGTCAAACTTACCAGTGATCGATATGTGAGTGAAACCTTGTGATTAAGCTCCTAAAGTGTTGGCCTAAGCGAAGCTTCAACCTATCGATTCACATATACACTCCAGAATCAATTCGTTTAGTAAGTTTTAAGTGGCCACCTTGTCACCAATGTGGCGGGAGCGCTCTACATCTGGCCCACTGGAGAATGGTCAAGCAGACAATGGGGGTGTATTTTTCTATTGCTATAAAGGTAATTAAAAGTTTGAAAGGGGTCTCATCCTGTATGCAGCGGGAGCTTTGAGAAGTCTTAAACCCTATTCATGAGCCTGGGAAATGCGCTCAGGGGTTAATGTCACTAACAGATTGCCTCAGTGAAAGAAGAATATGGAAGGATCCTCACGTCCTTTTGTGTATCAATTGTTCTGCTCGACACCCAGTTGGCTTTCACCTTCTCGAAGGAAAAAAAATAGGTTTTTGTTTTTGTATTTGATAGCAAGGTAACCGAGAGAATGTCCGGTTGTACGGCATCTAAAATTAAATTAATTTCTCCAAAATCAGTATGTCTCTCTCATGCACTCAGTGGCGAATTATTTGACTTCTAAAATTGCAAAATGTTTGGCTGTCTAGGTGTTCCCCTTGTCTCTGTTAATCAATGTACGCAAATTATCTTTCCCCGGTGAGTTTGGTCCGGCACTTATGGTCGTGTGGGTCGGTAGCCGTGGCGTTAGTCGTGGGTCAGACACCTGTAGTCATGGGGCCCCTTTACTTGGGATTAGGTTACAGTCTGGTCAAAACTCCTCAACATTTAATACTCCAGCAGCGCGCCGTCGGTGCGCATGGCTGTCACAGGCCAAACTGTAACTTAGGTGTGTTTTTAAGTGTTAAGCCCCGACAGACTACCAGTACACACAGGATCAAAATTCTCAACGTTCTCTTTTATTGGAGTATTTCTGGTGCAAACTTGACGTGCGCAAAATGGTCAGCGTCAATACACCCAAAGTGCAAAACTTTCCATAAAAGTGCCAATATTAGGTATGTGCCGACTCTTACAGAATGTCTTATATTTCATTATACATTATACGCGAGAAAGAAAGCTAAAAGGGTGTGGAACTATTTTATTTAGGAACACGATTAGGTAGGCGTTTGAACAAATATACAGAGCAAAGCTGTGCCAAATGAAAAATGTGCTTTTTTTTTTTTTTTTTTACAGTAAATTGGCCCACGGAACACTTGATGTTTCTAATAGCGTTCACATCTTTTAGTACGCATCTTCCTCGAACAGTTGCACTGTCTTGTTAAATCGTGTAGTGTGTGTTCTCGTTTTCACCCGCAGCGTGCATGTGCCCTGCAGATGACACCCTGGGTAAATGGCAGACTGAAACCTTGCTGCCAGTATTGCTGCAGCAGCTTCTTCTTGCGAGTAGACGAACTGAAACACCAGTTGGCAGCGTGTGTGGCTGCTGTGGTCGCTCCTTCTGCCTTCGTGTCTGAGTTAATAGTTCAGTGATGCCTTTGTGGAGCTGAGGTCGTGAGAACCGAGCGAACTAGTCTGCTTGCGGTTGGGCACAGCGCCAGTCAGTAAATCCCCGCTGGCAGGCGGAGGTGAGGAGGCGAACACACACACGCGTGGCCCCCAAGAGGCGATCCTGGTCCGGTGTAAACATGAGGAATCGTGGGGGGACTTAGATAAAACACTCCCAAGAGAAGTGGACTGAGGCTGTTCTATTTTTTTTTATATATATAGCAGCATTTTGTAGGATTTGTGGAAATCAGGTTTTAGCTGCGCAATCTCTGTGGTCTTATGCGTTGGGAAATAAGGAACATAAATACACCCTAAGTTCATAATGTCCATCAAACAGCAGTGTTATGTTAGAGTTCGAGTAGAAAATAAATTCAAGTGAAGTTTTTGAGAAACAGGAAGGAGAATAGAATGGCTGCATATAGCCTACATTCACTAAGATGCAGAATCATTCTCATTGTGAGCACATAGCTATAGCTCATATGCATAAGTGTTCAGATAGCAGATAGCATAAGTGTTCAGATAGCAGAACATAAACTGAGGCTGAAATATCTTTAATAGATGTGTGTAGCTGACAGAAGATCCAGGTGTGGGCATGTTGGCTCATCAGTCCTGCATTGTTGTCCTATTGCTACCGCAATAAGAAAACTTCTCTCATTTTCCTTATAAAAATCGAATCAGGCGGGAATCCCGATCTGGTGATGAAAAGGATTCCTATACATGGCTAGATGCCCCTTGGGGACCTGCACCATCACGTCCCCTGGGAGAAGTCCCCATTGAAGTGGGGGTAGGGGTCATCAGAGGAGCCACAAATTATCATTCTCATTAGCGACTGAATGGAGGAACGCGCGCACCACGTTGCCGCCAAACTTTTAACATCACATCTCCCTCCAAATTTACAACAGCTATTGTTGCACCAGGCCTTGTGTTGTCAGCACTTCATGGGTTTTATATGCAATTTCTGCTACAGACAGTTAGCCTAAAATCAGTGCTGCATCGTTTAATGCAGAACTGCAACAATCCAATGATATAAGAAGAGGCTTCTGTTCTACAGTTCCAATAAGAACATCAGCCAAGCTCCTTAAATACATAACTTTAACAGAGTACAGCTGATGTGTTTCCCATGCCAGCTCTGGTTAATCTGAAGGAAGTGATATAAAGAAGTAGCATAATGCAAGAGTTGTGTGTTGTTGAGTTGTGTGACCAAAACAGGGGATGTTTATGATTATATACTTCTTGCTTTTTTAAAAGTCCACGAACAGGTTTCTGCCAATTCAAAATATTTTCTGAGGTGCGTCCTGTCTCAAGCCAACTTAAAAAAACTGGTCCATGCATTCATACCCAGCAGATAAGACAATGCCCTCTCTGCTGGACCTCCTTAAAAGTCAGTAGGTTGACTCTAGACAGCTCATTTAAAATGCTGTGGCCAGAGTGTTAACAGGGACAAAGAACATAGGACATATCACACCGTATTGAAAAAGCTTCAGTCCAGTCCAGTCCAGATTTGAATTCAGAAAGTTACTTCTTGTCTATAGCTCTAAAAGGTATGGCTCCTTTATATCTGTCCGACCTGTTCACTGACAACAGGCCATTTGGATCCCTCAGATCATCAGGTATGGGCCTACTAAATGTACCTGGAGTCAAAACTAAATCAAGTAAAGGTGGTGCCAAGTATTGGAGCAAACTGCCTGTTCACATGAATCTTTTTAGTTGTTAATATACATCCTTAATATATAATTATTGTCCAAATGTCTAGTGGATCAACGGCAGCAGAAAATGTTTTTTGCCTGACCTTCTGACACTTGTCCTCCAGTTCTCAACATAAATTTCAGAATCCGGCCCCCCCCTGCTTTCGTTTTGTTTGAGAGCTCCACTGTTTGTGATGACAGGCTATATTTGCTCCTCAATCTGACGACGCTGCAGCTACTGGGACAGAAGGAAATGTTCTGCATGCTTTGGTCACAGGTTCTGGTATAAATGAGAGGGAGGGCTGGAGCAGGCGACACACATGAAGTTGTTTGTGTCAGTCTGTGTGTGGGTGTGTATTTGTGTGCACTGGACAATTCTCCTTGCACCTGTTCTCTCGAGAATCAGGGAGGGTTATAGGGTGAGGCGGATAAGGATGACACCATAAACAGAAGGTGTTGAAACTGAGGAGAGAAGTAAAAAACTTCGCCTCAAGAGTGGGATCCTATAGCGACATGCATGCAAGAGGCTTATTTTTTAAAGGGCAAATCATAGGAGCAGCAACACTTGAGATTTAGTTGGTCCCCTTCAGTGTCACCCCACGGCTGACTCCCTGACACTTTATTAACAGGTGTTCACTTTTTACATTCGAGCCAAAATCCCCTTCCTCCTCCCGCTTTCACTCATATTTGGCTCACTCCAGGCTTCCATCCTGTCCCGGTATTTATAGTAAGGGAACACTTATCCCTTGCTGGGTGTGAGGTGTTGGGTGTGTGCAGACGGAGGTGGTGATGCAGGGCGGGCAGACGCAATGAGACACGTCAAACAAGATCAAATATCACAGGGTCCTGGTGCCGCGTGGGCTCCCCCTGATCATCACTGCTCGTCTGCAGAGCGTACTTCTGAGACCAGGTTTGGCTTTTCAGCAGCTTCTCTTGTTTCAAGGCATGAGGCATGAGGCTTATGGTCTTTGCAACTGGTGCAGATTCCACAGGAGAAAGTTAAGGGTCCTCTTGACAGGGTTAGAGGTCATCTTGTAGACTCCTTGGTGGCCTTGAAGAAGCTCCTCCCTAAACGAAGGCACTTTTATTTATGTGTTTATCTGTTGAGCATTCATCCCTGTTTTTCTCCTGCAGCTCTGACAGCTGTTGTTCTATTTTTGCTCTCTATCTCTCTGAGGTAATGTTGATTTGGCCATTGAATTGAGAGAACGTTAAACAATTTCTCCATTAAAGATGTGATAACACAGCAACCCTTTTGGGAATTTTTAATTTGAGGAGACTTGTTCAGCGTGTGCAGTAAAATAGTTAAGGACATGTATCAATTTGAAACTATAAGCTTCATATTATGTCTATTTTCAATGAAACTGATCAATAAGTGCCAAACAAAATTCAATAAGGGATAGTAATGAGCAAAAGTTCAACTGTGGGGCAAATAATGATAAAAGATCAAAATCAAGATAAACAACCAAATGTGTTAATTGTTGTGGCTATATAATCAATGTACCACAAACAACTGAATTGTGTGTGTGTGTGTGTGTGTGTGTCTGTGTGTGTGTGTGTATGTGTGTGTATGACTCATCCTATGTCTCAGCACATGCTCGGACTTGTCCCAAATTTGACACTTGAGAATGTCATGAACAGAGATCTGACTCACATATCCTTTAAGAAGCCCCTGTCTACCGCTGCTGT